AGAAACCAAGATAGGCAAGGGTAGAAGAAGAAGAAGAAGAGATTGGATTTATACCCTGCCCTTCACTCGGACTCTCAGAGCAGCTTACAATCTCCTTTCCCTTCCCCTTCCCACAACAGACAGACACCCTGTGAGGTAGGTGGGGCTGAGAGAGCTCTGGGAGAACTGCTCTTGAGAGAACAGCTCTGAGAGAACTTGTGACTGACCCAAGGTCACGCCAGCAGCTGCATGTGGAGGAGTGGGGAATCAAACCTGGTTCTCCCAGATTAGAGTCTGTGCTCTTAACCACTACACCAAACTGGCTCTCAGTCAGGGTCGGCTCACCCACTAGGCGAACTGGGCATTTGCCTAGAGTGCAGGCCGGCCCTTAGGGGTGCCAAAGCCCCCCAGCCCCCGCCAAAAGCCCTGAATGATGGCTTCCCTGCCGGGCCCCACCACAGAAGGAGGAGGAGGTGGCGGCTGGCAAGCGGAGGCAGGAAGCGCTTGGGAGCTGCACCCCCCGGCCCCGCGGCAGCTGAGCCCCCCTCCCGGCAAGAGAGAAAGGAAAGGCAGCAGGGATCGACTAAACCAACCAAGCAAAAATCTCCAAAGGAAGTTTTGAAAACTTGTAAAGGGCCAAAAGTTAAAAAACATGAATCGATATAGACAAAAGTACACATGTTTATTTCAGAAATGTATATAAACCTTGTAGGGGCTCAAATAAAGCCTCATAAAATAATAAAAGTGACAAATAAAGAGCCTCTGCAGAAGGCTCTTGTGGACCGAAACGTGCCAGGTCATATGTGGGTTCTTTTTGTGCATTTGTCACTTTGATTATTTTCTGAGGCTTTATTTGGACCCCTACAAGGTTCTTATGTGTTTTTGAAATAAACACACATACTTTTGTCTATACCTATTGATGTTTTTAACTTTTGGCCCTTTACTAGCTTTCTAAACTTCCTTTGGAGGTTTTAAGACCTCCTGATGGCACCTGGTTTTTTGGCCACTGTGTGACACAGGGTGTTGGCCTGGATGGGCCATTGGCCTGATCCAAAATGGCTTCTCTTATGTTCTTATGTAAGGCTACTCATCCTGCTTTTACTAAGACTCCATGAATGAAGCCCAGCATGCAGCTCCAGAAGTCTAGGGAACTGTTCTCTCCTGAGTCCTTCCTGTGCTTGTTCTGTCTGTCCCCCACCCTCTCCCAACATGCAGGGGCTCGGAAGATCCGTGTGTGGAGCCGAGAATTTGTTTTGCAGTCGACCAGCGAGCCTGTCCCTGGACTAGAGCAAGGCCTCGCTTGGAAGTGAGTATGGAAGAGCTGCCATTTGTGGGGCGCAGTTTCCCTCTTGAGAGTTCCAGCCCCTCTTCCCCCCCCCAAAAAGCCCTGTGTGTGTGTATCTGTGTTTTGTCTTTTTTGTTATGTTTGAATGTGACCAACTTGGCACCAGCACCAGCTGACTCCGGGCCTCTTTAAGAGAAATGTGCCCTGCCTGACATTGCAGCAGGCACCGTAGTCAGAAATTATTAGCTGCCATCAAGAATTATTTAACTGGAACTGCTGATGTTTTATGAATTATTATTTTTTGTTTGCCACCCTGAGCCCACTTGCGGGGGTATGGCGGGATATCGATTGAATAAATAAATTAAAAATAAATAAATAAGGAGCCCAAGAGTCATGCAGGTGAGACAAGGTCTCCGTTGTGACTTACGTTGTGTGGGACAAAGTAAAAGGGTTGCCGTCTAGGACAGTGACCAGGAGAGGGAGGTACCTGCACCCCACAGGCCTCCTTCAAGAGCTAAACCCTCCTTCCTCCACCCCCTTGCCTCCTGTCTATCCCAGTGACAGACCTTTGCTATATTTAAGGTAAAGGTAAAGCTTCCCTTGCTCGAAAGCCAGTCGAATCCGACTCTAGGGTTGTGGTGCTCATCTCCGTTTCAAAGCCGAAGAGCCAGCGCTGTCCGAAGATGTTTCCGTGGTCATGTGGCCGACATGACTAAACACCGAGGTGCACGGAACGCTGTTCCCTTCCCACCAAAGTGGTACCTATTTATCTAATTGCAATTTCTTGCTTTCGAACTGCTAGGTTGGCAGGAGCTGGAACTAGAGACGGGAGCTCACTCCGTCATGCGGTACACTCGGGTCTCGAACTGCTGAACTACCGACCTTCCACAGCCTGCAGTTCAGCGTCGTAACCACTTGAGCCACCGCAGCTCTTCTTTGCTATATTTAAGCACATTAAAAATATATATATTTGGGGGAAAGTTGTTCTGAATTATCCCAAATGAAAAATGGTCTTACCTTCTTCCTTCGTTTTGTCCTTAAGGCCCTCTGGAAGCCTGGTGGCATCCTCTCAAGATAAAGCCAACAAGCACGACGTGGTGTTCTTTGAAAAAAACGGGCTCCTTCATGGGGATTTCACGCTTCCCTTTCAGAAAGGCCGAGTCAAGGTAAGGCAACTCCCTTTCTGAAGGGGCTGTTGAATTTTCTGCAGAGAATAGGGTCTGATAGACTCTCAGTGGAATCCCAAGCAGAGACATTCTGCTAAGTCAGTGGGTCTAGAAGGGTGTAACTCCATTTAGGATTGCACTGTGGGACTGAAACCCCAAGTCAGATATGAAGCTCACTGGGTGACCTTAGGCCAATTGGTGTCCTAACCTACCTCACAAGGGTGTTATGAGGAGGAAATGGGGAAAGGAGAACCATATACACTGCCATTGGCGAGAAGGTGTGATAAGAATTAGTAGATGAGTAGATGGAATCCACTGGCGCCTCTTTCTCATGTGTGTCTGTTTGACTCCCCCCACCTAGTCTGAGGAATTTTGAGTTCCGTGGAATGCATTCAGTTGCTCATTGCGCTCTGGAGAAGACAGTACGTGACTTAAGAATAACCATCCTCTTGAAAGTTTCTGACGTTGATTCTGCATTCCTTTAGGTAAATGAGCTACTCTGGAATTCAGACTCTATGGTATTAGCCGTATGGCTGGAAGACCTGAAGAATGAGATTAACTCACAACCAAAGACATATGGTAAGAACTGAGAATATTTACATGAATCTTTTCCAGAACTTTCTAGATCAGGCTCACAGTCGACCCTGCTGAATCACCCTGGCTATCTCTAGGCATGTATGTGCCCACAGTCACATGCAGGGCTATTTTTGGGCAGGAACGCACAGGAATGGAGTTCCGGCTGGCTCCCGAGTTGGCCACGCCCAGCAGGAACTCATTAGCATAATAGGCCACACCCAACAGCAGAAACTCATTCGGATTGGCTACTTTAGGGGTGTGTGGCCTAACATGCAAAGGAGTTCCCGCTACAAAAAAAGCCCTGGGTTTGGACGGCAAACAAGGTAAACAGAATAAGAAGCAAAAGGTGGGTGTGGCTGGATAACCACACTTCTGGTAACATGGGGGTGTGGCCTAGTATGCTAGTGAGCTGTGTTGTCAGGGGTGTGGCCTAATATGCTAATGAGTTTCTGCTGTTGGGTTTGGTCTATTATGCTAATGAGTTCCTGCTGGGCTTTTTCTACAAAAAGGCCCTGGGAGGGGGTGCATTGTATGACCTGAAAATACACCTGTACACTGACTCATGAGATAACTGCCTAGTTCTGCTGCCCAAGGTTGCTTCCCAGTAATATTGTCATGTTTCTTGTCCTTTCTATGGGAGGCTTAGAATAAGGTGTACTGATCACCTAAAAATAACTAGCTGGTGGCAGCGTCTGGTAAAAGAATTCTTGTGAGATTTTAGCAAATGAGAAACATGCAGTCTGACAATGCAGGAAGAAGCACCCTCCCACTTCCAGAGGGTGGGGACCAATGTTCCCTCTAAGCTGTGGAGTCTTGTGAGTAAAAATTCTACTTTGTGAGCTACTTGCATTAAAGTTGTGAGCGAACGATTTGGCTGCTGCATAAATTAGTTTGCTCTGGAGCCATCCTTCCTGAGCTAAGGCAACAATTTGTGAGCTGGAGGCTAAAAAACTGTGAGCTAGCTCACACTAACTCAGCTTAGAGGGAACACTGGTGGGGACCTCCCTCCGTCCCTCTTTTTTCATATAGATCAACCTTGTCCTGAGCTTGATTAATAAATATTCCTTGAATTTTTAAAAATGGGAAGGAACAAACCCTCCTGGAGTAGCCACCACTTGGGAGGTATCTGTTGCTAGCGCCCCGCTGGGCTGAAAAGAGCAGCCCAAAATCCAAGGAGACTGAGAGCTGGGGGTCCGGTATCATTATTCACTTGGTCCTTGCTGTTAGTTGTTGTTTGTCTTACGTACAGTTCTCTGATCTCCAGCCCACAGTCCGTTATCCTTGTGTGTTTGCTCTCCGTGTGTGTTCGTATAGTTCAACTGTGGACAACAGGAAACTATCACTGGTACCTGAAGCAAAGCCTGCATTTTGGCAGCTCAGAGGACAGCAGGATCGTGTCCCTGGCCTGGGATCCAGAGACTCCGTATCGACTTCACATCCTTTGTCACCAGTGGCTGTACCTCTGCTACGACTGGCAGTGGAGTACGGACCGCAGCACCGGGGAAGGGGCAAATGACTCTGCTGGAGTGGCAGTCATTGACGGAGGTACGCTTCTGCTCCAGGGGATTACAAGGCCGGTTCTACATGGGGACGACAGTTCACCAGACAGGGCCACACTTGAATCAGCCTTCATTTGTGTTGCATTCCCTTGTCCTGCCATCTTTCATCTCCAAGATTTAAAAGCAAGATGAATGCAACTTACGAATAGGGCTGAATGTATGCTGTGATTCCCAGAACCATTTGTATGTCTGGTGGTGGAGACAGAATGCTGTCCTAGATGGGCCATCAATCTTATTTAGCAGGACTCTTCTTGTGGTGTTACAAGCTGGGTAAATCACAGCGGGGGGCACCATTTGGAAACCACATCTTCCCCCTCAGAATCTCCTGCCCCAGGATCTTTGGCAGGCTGACTTCTCCCTATCTGTTTTTCCCCCTAAAACAACACTCAGCTGCCCTCAACATTCCATGCTTGTAGAGTGCTCTCAACATTCCATGTTCCTGGAATCTAGTCAGTCCTCATCATGCCCTTTTTTTAGGGGAAGTGTGTTTCACCTGATTAATTTCTGTAGACAGGTGGAGGGTATAAAACTACTCCTTCGTCACAGTGCTATGCCAGCTCACTCCAGAGGAAAGAAGGCACTGAACAATTTGTTTCTTATCCCCCAAATGTTGCTTCTCATTGGATAAAGCCCTGTTACTGGATTGGAAGCAACGCTTGGACAGTGCATAAACACAGCAACTTGCTTTGTATTGATCTCTGCCTTGAGATCAATACAAAGGTGGCATAGTGCTTGGACCAGGACCTGGGAAATCTAGATTCACACCCCCATTGTGGCATTCTGATTCTGGGCAATCTTGAGCCAGTCACCCTGTCTTAGCCCAGCCCGCCTCACAAGGTTGTTGGGAGGGAAGGGGGGAGCCATGTATCCTGCCCTGAGCTCCTTCGAGGAAGGGCAGGATACAAATGCACAAGGTGGATGAATACCTGTTACATTGCAGTGATACACATTTGAGTGACTTTTTCTCTTTCAAAGACAAGGTGCTCTTGACCACTTTTCGGCATGCTGTGATCCGGCATTCCTTGTAAACAGCTGCTAGAATGGGTGGCTTTCAACTTTTAAAAAGTTACAGTTGTGGGTGCACAGCCATGACCACAGTTTTCAAAGCTGGCCCTTCATATGGGAGCAGGAACTCCTTTGCATATTAGGCCACACCCCCTTAATGTAGCCAATCCTCCAAGAGCTTACAGAGCTCTTCTTACAGGAGCTACTGTAAGCTCTTAGAGGATTGGCTACATTAGGGGTGTGTCGCTTAATATGCAAATGAGTACCTGCTACAAAAAGAGCCCTGATTGCTCTGGCAGTGCGTGCAGAACAAGAGGACAGACGGTGGCTAAAGCCTAGTGCAACAAAGATACTGGAGGATCAAGTTTTAAAATTTTTCGCAGGGAGGGCATAAATAAATAAATAAATAAATAAAGTAAAATAAACAGTGGACATTTCCAGGATTTTGTGCAGAAGACATCAGATTATGTCCTGATAAACTGAGTTCCCTGATTTAGAGGGCGATCAAATGTCATGGAAACATCTAGACCCTCCACACTTCCAATATCCCTTCACTGATAAAACCTATATAGTCAGAGTCCCATCTTTCCCCTATGTCATATGGTTGTAAGCTGATCATAGCTTTCCCACCGAATGCCTAGGTTTCCCAGTTAACTATTATGCACAACAAATGATGGAAGTAATAACCAATCTCAAAATATCTTTAATTTAAAAAAAAATTGTAATCAATATAACCATCCTATCTGCTTTCTTCCGCAAAAATAGACAGAGGTTGGAGCGTTGCATCTTCTTTGTCCCGATTTTGATTCTTCTTATTTGCGTGTTCTTATTATTCCTGAGAATGGATGCAAACAAGAAGGGTTTACAAAATTTACGAACCAGAAAGGTTTTCTAAGCACCAACTTGGAAGGAGGGAGAGACTTAGATCAGAGTGTGCCAATGAAAGGACAAATCTCGTTTTTCTCAGTGTGTCTGAGTTTCTGCCTGCATCTCCTCCTCCAGAAATGTTTGGGGTTTTTTTCTCACCCCTGCCCCCCCCCCCTTTTCTTCCAGGCAATGTTTAATTGAGAGGAGCAAGGACTCAAAGCTACCTGGAAGTCATAGCCTCTGACTTGGGGTCTGTCCTTTCATTGTGTGCTGCTAGTTGGCCTTAGGAAGTAGGAGCGTCCAGGTTGCACACATGGGAGAAGGTGAAACCTGTTTTGTAGCCAATATTCCTAGCTCCAGGACCTATTTTTGGAGTATCAGTAGGGAATGGCCAGATGGATGTTTGACCCTCTGATCATTGTGGCTTAAACAACAGTTTGTTTTGGTGCCCATGTAGATGTATCACTGTGGCAGTCATTCCCAAACGTTCCACCTTTCCTGCAGGGCTCTGAACCAATTCTTGTGATTTAGGCCTCATGCAAATCCAACTGATTATCAGCCAATCAGAGCCCACGGAAATCCACTGGACGGGAGGGGGATAAGCCAGCCTCATCTTAAGAAGGGTGAAGAATACTAAACAAAGCTTTTGTAGCAGGAACTCATTTGCATATTAAGTGACACACCCCTAATGTAGCCAATCCTCCAAGAGCTTACAGTAGCCCCTGTAAGAAGAGCTCTGTAAGCTCTTGGAGGATTGGCTACATTAGGGGTGTGTGGCCTAATATGCAAAGGAGTTCCTGCTACAAAAAGAGCCCTAAAATGCCCCTGGATGGTGCCAGGGTAGGTCTATCACACCTTCTGTTTGCTGCTCTTTTCACAGATGGCTATGGTGATAAAGACTCCTCTACAGTTAAAAATGGTGCCGTGGATGGAAGTGGATCTAAAGATCCCATTGGGGTCCCTCAGCTGGAAAAGTCCTACAGGTACCGGAGGTTACATGATGTGATACAGAATATGCTGTTTGAGGGAATATGCCCCGGCTCCGGCCTGGTGGAACTCTCTGCCAAATAACATCTGTGCCTTGTGGGACCTAGTTCAGTCCCGCAGGGCTTGTAAGGCAGAGACGTCCCGCCAGGCTTACAGTTGAGGACAGCAACGGTTTTTAATCACCACTTTTTAATCAATGGTCTTAAAGCCTGGCCCCTTTTTTCCATTTGCTCCCCAGTTGGGGTAAGCGTAATTGGTTTCCATGTGCCTTTTGGAATGATGATTGAATTGTTTTAATGTTTTTAACTAATTTTAAATGGTATTTAAACGTCGTACACCGTCCTGAGCCCCAAGTATTGGGGGAGGGCAGTCTAAAAATTGAATATGAAAATAAATACATGACCATATACTTTCTGTGCCAGGAGCCCCACTCTATATTTATTGTTACGCTTATCTTGCCCTTCCTCCTCAGCGGCCATGGCAACGTATGTGATTGTCCACTTTTCCTTTTTCTCACCTCAGCCAACCTTGTAAAGTAGGATAGAGAAGGAGCAAGTGACTAGATCAAGATCATCCAGTGACTCTGATGTAATCCAGAGCATTTCTGGAATTCTGAGCACAGGTAGTGGGCACTGCAGTAAAATGGCTGCCATGGAGGTTCCAGGCCAAGCATCCTACTATGACGGAAGCAGCTGTTTCAAAATGAGTGCCTCTGCAAACCCAAGTGTGATGTCTCCTGGACTCTTGAACCACCTGCTCCAGTGAAGTGGCAGAAAGCCAGGGATTGGCGGGGGGAGAAGTGAATTGAGTGGGTGCCGTTGGTTGCCACGTGAGGGATTATTGGTAAAATCCATCCACTGCAAGAAAGGGTGAGGGGTGAATAGGCCTCCTGAGGAATGCCTGTTCTCATAGGTATTTAAATACACAGGCCCCTATTCACGTACAAAGTTTATGTGCCATGCAGAAGCCTCCACCTGGCCTTTCTAGCTTTGTTGCCTTCAGCTAAAGTGCATTTTTAATAATGATGGTTTCTCTTAAGTATTCCTTGCACATTTATTTATTTAATTTTTTATCCCACTTTTCAAGGGGCTCGAGGTGGCACACATTGCCCTGTTTCCTCGTGTTATCCTCATAATGACCTTATGATGTAGGTTTGGCTTAGATAGAATAGCTGGCCCAAGCTTCTACAGTCAGCTTCGAGGTGGAGTAAGAACTGGAACCTAGCTCTTAGTCTGACATTCTAACCACTACCGGCTGTCATTGCACAAACCAGCTTTCCATCTAGTGCAGGAGTTGCAGGCAACTGTGCCTCCTGCCAAGCAATACATAAATCTTTTACATTCCAACTTCATGTATGTGCATATGTGTTAACTGTCTTAGTCTAAAAGGACTACATTTGAAGTGATTTGAACATGTAGAAAAATTCTCTGGGCGATGGAACATTCCCATGAGATAGCCCTCTTGATCTTGCATGATGAACTTGTACATGTGAGTTGGTCCTTAGCTTACCACTGAGTTACCAGTGCATATAACTCAGGAAAGCATTATAGAGTCCCTACAGCAGGGCTCTCCAACTTTGTTTGAGTTTGTGGACGCCTTTGCAATTATGATACAAGGTGGTGGGCGCAACCACAAAATGGTTGCCAGAGGAGGTGGAGCCAGCCACAGAATGTCAGGGAGTGAGGTTATCTATAACTCTGATTGTAGCTCTTTAGCATTTCAGGCAGAATCTCTGTTTAACAGAATGCCTTTTAAAATGAACATATTATTTATTATTTACTTGTGTACATAATAAATATACATATTGCGCTAGCTAAGAAACACCCATCTGGCTGATCTCTAATGGTCAAGTTGAAAGCCTGCAGGGCGAAAGCCCCACCTAACCCCATCTACTTTGTAAAACCACTTGGCGAGAGCAAGGGAAGATGTCAGTGTCATGGCATCCATGGGCGCCATTTTGGGGATACAGGCCATTGATAATCTTCTTCCTCAGGTTGTCTGGTAGCTTACCAAACCCTTGATTTTTCCAAGCAACACCAAGACGAGTTTGTTTGTACCCTGTTCCACGTTCACCCCGCTGTATTTTAGAAAGTGGAAGGGGGAAAGAGTAACTTGCATGATGAACAGACCGTGTAAATAATCTGTCTTTTTGTTGGGTACTGCTATAGAATCAACCTAAGCGCCAAGGAAGAGAGAATCCCGCTGTGGTTGCGTCTGGTCACCTGGGTGCAAGATGACCTGTTCCTCGCTGCTAGCCAGGGGCCTCTCCCAGGCCATACAAGCATTCACCATCTGAAGCTCTCCTCTGCCGAAGAAGCCTGTGTTGTTACCAGGTACTGGCAACAGGGATGTCTCTCAATTTAAAAAATTGTTTCGAGCAGCTCCGGAAGACCTTAATGCCCCTTTGGAACTGGCTGGTTGAGTAGTTGCAGAAAGATTCATGAGAATGCTAGTTGCTGCGGAAAGCGCTCGTTTTTATAACCTGCTTCATTCATACATTAGCTAATGAGAGTGCTTCTGGTTTGTAGAAAGAGTATCATAGTAACAGGACAGCCGTGCAAGAAGCATTGTTAGTGGATGTGAAGGGTACATTTAAAGTCAGAATAAACTAAGCGATCACTTTGCCCTGACCTGGATGGGCCAGGCAAACCCAATCTCGTCAGATCTCGGAAGCTAAGCAGGGTTGACTCTGGCAGGTATTTATGTATTTATTTATTATTTTCCATTTGTATCCCGCCTTGCCAGAGAACTGGCTCAAGGCGGCGAACAAACATTAAAAGCAATAAAACAGTAAATACAATAAAATATACATAAACAACTATCTAACATCATAACATTCTAACAAGGTACTTGGATGGGAGACCTCCTTGGAATACCAGCAGGCGGGAGGTGGGAGCAGGCGTTATTCAGCCACCTCTCTCAATATACTCCAGGCCCCCAGTAGGGGTCAGTCACCAGAGGTAGTCATGACTTCCAGGTGCGCGCTCTCTCTCTCTAACACACATAAAAAGGTAAAGGTTCCCTTGCTCGTAAGCCAGTCGAATCTGACTCTAGGGTTGTGGTGCTCATCTCTGTTTCAAAGCCGAAGAGCCAGCGCTGTCTGAAGACGTTTCTGTGGTCATGTGGCTAGCATGACTAAACACCAAGGTGCACGGAACGCTGTTCTCTCTCTCTCTCTCTCTCTCTCTCTCTCTCTCTCTCTCTCTCTCTAACACACATAAAAAGGTAAAGGTTCCCTTGCTCGAAAGCCAGTCGAATCTGACTCTAGGGTTGCGGTGCTCATCTCCGTTTCAAAGCCGAAGAGCCAGCGCTGTCCGAAGACGTTTCTGTGGTCATGTGGCTGGCATGACTAAACACCAAGGCGCACGGAACGCTGTTCCCTTCCCACTGTTGTGGTACCTATTTATCTACTTGCAGTTTCTTGCTTTCGAACAGCTAGGTTGGCAGGAGCTGGAACTAGAGACGGGAGCTCACCCTGTCTTGCGGCACCCGGGTCTCGAACTGCTGAACTACTGACCTTCCACAGCCTGCAGTTCAGCGTCTTAACCCATTGAGCCACCGCAGCTCCCTAATACACATACACATATGAAAAATACAACAACAAAAACCTCCCCCTAAAAAGAGATTACCTTATCTCGTGTACAATATTTCCTCTCTAGGACCAGCACAGTTATTTTGGAAAGAGAGTTCATGGATGCACCTGTTACTCATTCCAGGTTTGGAGGACCTTTACTAGCTGGATTATTGCTTTTGAAAGTCCCTGTTTTCAAAGCAAAGATAGAGAGCACAGGTTGACATCAGGGGAGTCACCTTTCTCCCTCTCTTGTGCTTTTCGCAGCTCACCTGTGACTGTGGATGGGGACATCATCAGCCTGTCTTGTAACCCGAAAACCAAGGTGGTAGCTCTGCAACTCTCCGATGGTCGAGTAATGAAGTACCTGTGGGGTATGTGTGACCGTGGCTACTCGTTTGAGTCGGCTGGATCTGGAGGTTCTCACTTGGTGAACAGTTGCTCCTCTGGGATGGAGCTCTTAGCTTGCATGCAGAAGGGTTGGTCATTGGCCACATCCAGTTAATGGGATCTTTCATGACAAGGCAGGGAAAGATCTTTGCCGAGGAGCTGGGGCAATCGGCTATCCCTAACTCACACCCCAAGGCTTCAAACTTTGTTCATCTCTAGAATGTCTTACCTCATGGGCTCTGAATTCTAGTAAACCATGCTGCATCTGGTGATGTATAATCTTGGCTTTTTATTGTGTAGTGTTTATGCATCTTCTCTATTATGCTTTAGCGTCTGAAACGCCAACTGTCGTCCCTTGGCTGAACAGCAGTGGTTCCGCTGTCCGCTTTCCCTCCCCATGTATGCAGGTTGTGCAGGCCGTGATTGGCGGACAAGTAAGTGAGCAACGCGTGCAAATCTAGACTGGGTGAACAATAACCAGGGTGCTGTTTACCATCCCTCCTCCTCCACCACCACCACCACCACTTCATCATTTGTTCCTGGCAAGTAGTAAAAACTGTCCTGATCAGAAGAGTTTCTGTATTGCTACAGAAGTGCTCATGATACCAACAGCTGTGCCAGGGACACAAATCACAATGCCACAGGGTTTAATCAATGCAACAACTTGGCATGTTCCTCTTGGTCCCCTCCATTTTGAGAGTAAATAGCTGCCCGTTGTTGGCAGTCTGACATTCAAGGCTTTCCACTTCACAGTTCCGAGTAAGCAATGAGAAAGCTCCAAGTGTTACTATCATTTAAAAATAGGGAAAAGAAACTTGTTCTAGTCCTTATCGCTTTAATTATATGCTTCAGAACATGTGGGCAATGTCTGGTGGATCCCCAGGAGTGGCTCGTTATGATTTTCAGCGACTGAGAGCAAGCGAGTGGCCCAAAGTCACCCAGCAAGTTTCCATCATAGATTGGGAATCTGAACCCAGGTCTTCCAGATTCGAGTCTGTTTTACCCAATACATTTTTTAATAAAGCAGAATTTGCAAAAACTGCACGTCTCTTGCCTTATTTAATTTCTTTCTTTCTTTTTTAAAGAGTTCTCTGGACACTTTTCATTTCAGGTCAATAAAAATGAATTGCATCCTCCAATCACAATGCAGAATATTGCAGTGCAGTAAGAAGAGCAGAATTTTAGCAGATCAAGATCAAGCATAGCAAGAAACAGTTAGCATACAGAGATAGGGTTGCCAGTCTCCAGGTGGGGCCTGGAGGTCTCCCAGAATTACAAATGATCTCCAGACAACAGAGATTAGTTCCCCAGGAGAAAATGTCTGCTTTGGGGGATGGACTCTGTGGCATTACACCCAGTTGAGGTCTCATCCCTCTCCAGACCCCAAGGCTCCACCCCCAAATCTCCAGGAATTTTCCAACCTGGAGATGGCAACCCTAATAACATATGATTATGAAAAAGTAGGTAGCCATATTGGTCCATAGCATAATCCAAAAAACAAAAGCCATATCATCTTTTTTTTATTAAATAGCACCATACAAATGTTGCCAGTTTTCTCCAGAACTGTTCATCAGGCAGTACATTAAAAACAAAGCATTTCCGTTCCAGTTTTTTAACATTTGGCTTGATGAAGAGTTCTGTGTAGCTTGAAAGCTTACACACTTTGTATTGTGGTTTTGGTTTGGTTGTCCTTAAAGGCTTTTGTGAGTGTTATTTATATCATAAAGTTACAATGGTTTATGAAACTGTTATTGTATTATTATGTAACTGTTTTTATGTAATTGTTTCAGGACATGCACCATATTGGAGTCAACAAACAATAATAAGGGAATCCATTTTTCTGTACAGTTCTATATTATTTTCTAACTGTGTGCTGTATCTCTTTTTTGTCTTAGGACACCATCTTTGGCCTGACTGACAGATGTCGTTTTTTCATTAATGATGCTGAGGTACTAATTATTCTTAGTTCTTTCTTTCCTCAAAAATGTTTTTTCACATAGAACTACTGGGAGGAGGAGGTTTGTTCTTTGCTTTAAGAATCAGTGATATAAATATTTTAAATAAATGAATCTAAATTTTAAAAATGAACCAAATAAATGTTTCATAGGCTGCTTCAAATGTCACATCCTTCATCATACATGATGAGTTTCTGTTGGTGACCACCCATTCTCACACCTGCCGGTGTTTGCCTCTGAAGAACACATCCCTGAAAGGTAAACATCCTGGTGTTTTCTTACCATACACAGTACTCTCATTGATTTTTTCTTCACAGAACACTTTCCTCTTCATGCGTTTTCTCTACCCTCCTCAAATGCACAGCCATCTGTGGATGGTTTTCCTTTCATTTCTTCAAAATGGCTGCTTATATTCCCCCTTTGGCAGGGGTTCAGGTAATTTCCTAGTTGCTGCGTAGCAGGAGGAGGCTAAATGTAGATTGGACTTTATAAAACAATGAACAGGAAGGGATAGTGGCAGAGAACATAACATAAGAACATAAGAGACGCCAATGTTGGATCAGGCCAAAGGCCCATCCAGTTCAACACTCTGTGTCACACAGTGGCCAGAAATACCAGGTGCCCTCAGGAGGTCCACCAGTGGGGCCAGGACATTAGAAACCCTCCCAGTGTTGACCCCCCCCAAACACCCAGAAGACAGAGCATCACTTGCTCCAGAGCCCCTATCTATACCGTGTGGCTAATAGCCACTGATGGAAATGTGTTTTTGTTGGTGCTGAAGTTCCACTCTTCTGAAACTGTATGCCAGAGAGAAGCAACTGAGCATCCTCTCTGTCCATCAGGCTCGGTTACCAAACGAGAAATCTAAACAGAATAAACATCTGAGGCACCCTCAGCTCAGCTCATGTGCCCCTCCTCTCCGCAGCGGGAAGTCATCCCAGCTGTACCCCGTGACCAAAAGTATCATTAATTCTGGAAATCGGGTAAATACTATGTTCAGATATACACAGTGGTTTCTGGATGTGACTCCTTTTTCCTCTGTGGTAAAGAGGTGAGATTGGGGTATGCAAGAGCCCAGGATTCTTAACCAAATCTCCAGTGAGTAATGGCAGCATAGGCCTTGGTCAAAAGGCAGTTTCATAACTATTCTCTCTTGTTAGAAATGTTTTCCCCTAGTCCATTTGGGCCTAACAGAAATTAGATTTCCTGAGAATACCAGTATATGTAAAAAGCTTATACATTTGTTATGCCTTTTCTCTGAGAGTCACGCTCATCCAGGTAGTCTCCCTTCCAGACAGTTTACAGGGCAAAGCCTCCTAAGGTTCCATCCCTTTGCTGCCCCATGTGCCTTCTGATCAATCTCTAAGTTAATGCACAGAATGTTTACTACCATCAGTTATGAGTGTACACTGTTCTCTTGCGGGTATCATGTATCCAGGGCTATTTTTGGGCAGGAACGCACAGGAACGGAGTTCCGTCTGGCTCCCAAGTTGGCCACGCCCAGCAGGAACTCATTAGCATAACAGGCCACACCCAACAGCAGAAACTCATTAGGATTGGCTACATTAGGGGTGTGTGGCCTAACATGCAAAGGAGTTCCTGCTACAAAAAAAGCCCTGGGTTTTGACAACAAACAAGGTAAACAGAATAACAAGCAAAAGGTGGGTGTGGCTGGATGACCACACTTCTGGTAACATGGGGGTGCGGCCTAATGTGCTAATGAGCTGTGCTGTCAGGGGAGTGGCCCAATATGCTAATGAGTTCCTGCTGTTGGGTGTGGCCTATTATGCTAATGAGTTCCTGCTGGGCTTTTTCTACAAAAAGAGCCCTGCATGTATCTAATAGAAATGGATGGTCCTCCAGGTTATAAAGCTGAGATGTAGTTTATTTACTTATAACCCCCCCCTTCCTTCTCAATTGGGACTCAAAGCAAAGTACGTCATTCCGCTCGCCTACATTTCATCACAGCCGCCTTATGAGGTATGTTGGGCTGAGGGAGAGAGTCACTGGCCCAAGATCACCCTGCAAGCTTCCGTAGCAGAGTGGGGATTTGAACCTGGGATCTCCCAGTTCCTGGTCCAGCACTCTGACTGCCACACCACGCTGGCTCTCAAAATATTTGGCCACCCCCCAACACAAACAAATGGACAACATCTGCCCCTGTGCAGATATCTCAAAACATACACATGTGTACACAGGCATCTTTGAAAAAGCTGTGGATCAGCCAAGGGGAGGGCAGAGGATGCAGAGGAAACGTGTGATCAGGCGAAGCGAGAGAGAGGGAAATGGGGGGGAAGAGGATTTCTCCTTCCCGATGAGTCCTCTCTCTTGTAGATTGTAGTATGATGTAATCTGAGTCTCTTGGGATACGTGTGTGCACCCAGCACCCTCTTGCTAGGCCCTCCTTCCCCATTCATGCAAAGTTCAATCTAGGCCAGTGGTGGCAAACCTTTTAGAGGCCGAGTGCCCAAACTGCGACCCAGAACCCACTTATTGATCGCAAACTGCCAACACGGCAATTTAACCTGAATACAGAGGTTTTACTTTAGAAAAAAAACAACTGGTACAAAAAGCTATGGAACCTTTATATAATGGAGAAAATCTCAGATACTCTGAAACAAAATCTATCTAGAGGTGGTCAGAATGACATTGTATGTATATGGTCAGTGGTCATTTCGTAGAAAAAGAGGTGCAGGAGCTCATTAGCATAACTCATTAGCATAACTTATTTGCATATGCCACACTCCCTGACATCACCGGAAGTGTGTCAGGGAGAGCTTGTGCCTGAATAAAACTTGGCCTTAAAGGTGCCACTGGACTGTTTTGGACCTGTTAGGCTCTGCAACTTACCTGGCTGCTTCTTGCTCTGACTGAAGGCTGCTTGGAGCAAGGGGTGGAGCTTATTGCATCTGCCCGCCCCCTGGGCTCTTTACTGCCGGAGCTCCGCTCCTGTGCGCTCCTGCAGGAAATGACCCCTGTATATGGTACCCCATACTAGTACATGTATCTACCAAAGAAACAGTACCTGATGTAATAAACACTCTGCATCTATGGTAATTTTCAAACTGTATAATACCGACAAATTGTACGAAATTATGAAGCCATTGAGAGCTGACTATGCTCATGCTTACCTTGTAAATCTTTGCTGTTTATGACACTTTGATGATGGTCTGGGCCTGGCTGGGGCGATGGCACGCGCGCCCACAGAGAGGGCTCTGAGGGCCACCTCTGGCACCCGTGCCATAGGTTCACCACTACTGATCTAGGTGCAAAGTTCTTTTGGGTTTGAGCTCTTACGCCATGTACTGCGGCATCTTCAGCTCTGCAAGCGGCTTTGGGCAATGCTTCCATCCCCGACAACGAGACCCTGCGCAAGATTGAAAGAGGATCCCGGATCATCACGATCGTGTCGCAGGATACCAAGGTGATATTGCAGGTGAGTGCTCTCCCTGTGTGTGTTCTCATGGCCCAGAGCAGCTTGTTCCAGCATCGCGGTGTTTGTTGCACGGCCTAGAAAGCTGAGCTGACATGGGTAGGAGAATCGTGTGGCTTAGCTCTTGCTGGATTGTACCACTTCAGACCGCAGTTAGGTTGCCAAGCTGAAGCTGACTTAGGGCGACCCTGTAGGGTTTTCAAGGCAAGAGACAAAAAGAGGTGGTTCTGTCATTGCCTGCCTCTGCATAGTGACCCTGGACTTCCTTGGTGATCTCCCATCCAAGTGCTAACCAGGGTCGACCCTGCCTAGCTTTTAAGATTGGACAGGATTGGGCTAGACTGTGCAATCCAGGTCAGGGCAGAGGTGGGGTAGACAACATTTTTGTAATTCCCCCTCTTTAGAGATAGCTGGTATCTCAAGGAGAAGGTGAGGCTGCACCCTTCTACTGAATGTGGAAGTTTTCCATGTAGAGGGTGTTTTCATACAGGCTGGCATTCCAGTGTACAGCATTCTTGAGGTCTGAAGTTGCACTCCACCTACAGTTGCTGATAATATGTTAGCAGGTTTTTATCCCATCCTTCCTCAAAAGAACTCAGAATGGCATACGTCGTTCTCCTCTCCACGATTTAACTCTCACAACAATCCTGCGAGGTAGGTTAGGCTGAGAGAGTACGACTTAGCTGAAGGTCCCCCAGCAAAGCTTCCATGGCAGAGTGGGGATTCGAACCTATGTCTTCCAGAACCTAGTCCAAAGGTCTAACCACGACTCCTCAAAACACAGGCTTTATAAGTGTTGATTGATGACTCCATTGTTTCCAAACCAAAAGCCGGTGGAAATTGGGATGCTCTGGATGTGTCTCTTCTCACTGTCAAACTACTTTTTAGCATTTGTATTGTTCAATTTAGTTAAACTAATGTTGACTGACTTCAGGGGTGAGGGAGCTCATTTACCAAGTGCACAAGGCTCCAATGTGGATTGGGACTACAGCATAGGGGGATAAGCGGCTTTAGCCCCCCTCCCCCCGCTGTGTTCCAGTCCTGAACTGGCCCTGGGGTGGTAGCATATCCCCAGTTAGGTGGCTACACACGTACATATGGGCTGTGTGTGCAGGCCCCCCCCCCCCCTCCCCGCCCCTTCGAGATAGGAAAATGGGGGGTGGGCCTGAACCCACATCCCTCACACTGTTATCCAGATCAGGGTCCCATACACTTGGGAAATGAGTTGCCTCACGCCTGACAGCTGACTGACTCAGTCAAAGTCAGGTCAGGGGAACCCAGTTATGATGCAGCATGAATAGTTCAACCCATAGTCATGTTCCCAAATGTAAACCTCACCGGGGGTAAAGAGCGAAATATGTTTCCGTGGCTTTTCAGAAAACCATTGTGCTTCAGTTTTCACAAGTTTGGGAACCTTGGTGTTGGGTGATTTTTTTATTACGTTGGTTTCCTGCCTTTCCATTGTGTGCTTGAGGCAGATAAGAACATTGAAGTCCCATTGATCAATTACACTCACTCAACGCAAAATACAAGACTGGGCCCTGAGCCACTGATGCCCAGTATCTGAGCTAGGACTCCAGATGGAGGGCTGTATGTAGAGAGAGCCAGTTTGGTGTAGTGGTTAGGAACGTGGACTCTAATCTGGGAGAACCGGGTTTGATTCCCCACTCCTCCACATACAGCTGCTAGTGTTCTTTGTGTTCTATCATAAGTTCTTTGAGAGCTCTATAAACCATTGGTACACTAAACTATGGGAATATCTGATTGATGACAAAATTGCTGAATGGTCCGCCCAGCATAATCTAATCGAAAGCACTCAAAGCCCGATGAACAAATGGAAGGTTTTGCTAGCTAAACAAAACATGTTTATGATGCACAGGCCACGTAATCCTTGGACAAATGCCTTGCCACTATACATGTTTCATTAGGTTAAATTGCGGGTTACTGATATTGTATAACCTTTAGTTTTGATGTTAGCTATCTTATTAGTTTGATGTAGTTATAGTTGTTATGTTTGTCAACAAGATACTGTTTGGAAAGTTAATTTCTCCTTTTTGTTGTTACTGTATCAATATTTTTTATTGTATGTTGTATGTAATAAAATAAAAAAAATACAGCTGCCAGCATGACCTTGGGTCAGTCACGGTTCTATTAGAGCTGTCCTTGAAAGAGCAGTGCTTGAGAGAGCTCTCTCAGCACCACCTACCTCACAGGGTGTCTGTTGTGGGGAGGGGACTCCTTCGGGTAGTGAAAGGTGGGGTATAAATCCAATCTCTTCTTCTTCAGCATCTTCTTTATTATGTCACTCAAATGTGATGTTCTCAGTGGCTTGGATGAGCAGTCTTCTTGGGCTTTTTCTCTAGGTACCAAGAGGAAACTTGGAAACGATTCATCATCGGGCCCTTGTCCTGGCCCAAGTTCGGAAGTGGCTGGACGGGTAAGCCAGTCTCTTTTAATTCATTATGTGTAAGGTGACGATCCCCAGTGTGTGGCAGTCATGGGTGCCGTGGTGTCAACCAACGTGTTTTCTGGTGCCCGCTTCTTTCTTCCTTAAAATACGGGCCAGTCCTGGCTTTCCCCAAACTCTCTGGAGCAGAAGGTGCTTCAAAAGATCCCAGATGGCGCCACTTTTGGGGTCTGCACACCCTTTGGAAACAGCTGTTCTATCAAAGGAGGACACTTGATACCCAGCATTTTTATTATAAGTAGTAGTAGAAGTAGTAGTGTTTATTAGATTTCTGAATCGCCCAACCCCGCAAGTGGGCTCTGGGCGATTTGCAGCATTAAAACAGATAAAATACAATCAACATGATAACATTATTATAATGCACTAATAAAACAACCAATCCAGATGGCGATCAACCCCTTTTTTTTGCCGGCTACCGTGCTCTCTGTGCAGCAGGGCAGGGAAGGGGACGTGGGGGCCAAAAATAAAAAAGGAGAGTGCCAGTTTTAACTGTTGCTGTTCTCAACAAGAAACCTGACGGAACATCTCTGCCTTACAGGCCCTGCGGAATTGCATCAGATCCCGCAGGGCCCCAACATTATTCGGCAGAGAGTTCCACCAGATTGGGTCGAGGAGGGAAAAGGCCCTGGCCCTAGTTGAGGACAGCTGAACCTTCCTAGGGCCGGGGATCACCAGTAAGTTGTTATCAGCTAATTTTGTGATTGCCTCCCATGGTGGCCATTTTGTGTTTTTTTCCTGCCTCAGATGGCATCCATTTTGCAGTGGTGCCCGCTACCCTTTCTCAAAATTCCTAAGTGCTCACAGACTCAACAGGTTTGGAGGCCCCAGTGTAAGGCATATGGAGAATATGCGTCTGCTGTATTATAATTAATTAAAATATGTTCAACTTTCCTCCGCCTCTGACAGGGGCCAAAAGTGGCATGCATGGTGCCAATTTCCTGTTTCCATGAATGTGTATCAGAACTGACTCACTCTGACCTGCCTCTTCCCACAGGATTCAGTTTAAAGAAGCTTTTGAATGTATGAGGAAGCTGCGAATCAATCTGAATCTCCTTTATGACCACAATCCAAAGGCAAGTTAGAGGAGAGCTGTTGGCACTTACTCAGAGGACATCTTGTGGGGAGCAGGAATTATGAATGTACACTGATACACCACTATATAGTATGTATGTCAGTACACTGTGGTGCGGCCTGGCCACTAGTTATCATATCAGAGTATTAATAGTTATGAAAACATAAATGTCCAGTTATCCAAAATTTTATTCATTATGGAACAGTGAAACTTTTTTTAAAGATGGTAAATGAAAAAACAGGTATTGCCTTGCTCAGAGGCTTAGTGAGGGCAGCTGGCCAGACAGAATGGGCATCACTGCAGCTTTTCATTGGCTCTCTGCACGAATCCTCACTCCTCAAACCATATTCAAGGGAAGGAGGGAATGGGAGACCTGTGACATGTAATTCCGCAGTACCGAGCGGCAGGGGTGGAACTCAGGGCAGGCCTAGGCAAGCATAGGGTACTTAGTAAAGGTAGACCCAGCCTATGTAAGTGATGATTAGGTTTATAGGAAAGCAGTGAAATGTATAGAAAAGTAAACTTCACTTTTATTTTTAATCAAAAATTGTATGCTCACAAATCTACATGGTTAAGTAGGGGACACTATTATTGTTTCTACGTATATTTCTGGTTCCTGTTTCATGCTTGTGCCGCACTATGAAGAAGAAGAAGGAGGAGGAGGAGGAGGAGGAGGAGGAGGAGGAGGAGGAATGTATACCCCCGCCCTTCACTACCCAAAGGTGTCTCAGAGCGGCTTACAAACTCCTTTCCCTTCCCCTCTCCACAACAGACACCCTATGGGGTAGGTGGGGCTGAGAGAGCTCTGACAGAAACTGTTTCAAGAGCAGCTCTTATCAGAACTTGTCCAAGGTCATCCAGCCAGGTGCAAGTGGAGGAGTGGGGAATCAAACCCGGTTCTCCCAGATTACAGTCCGCGCTCCTAACCACTACACCAAACTGACTATCTTAGTCTAGATTATGACAGCTTGATAGTGGTGACCTTGTGTCGTCTGTGGGAGCCTGTCTTCTTGTTGAGTAAGAATCCCAGCCCTGCAAGCAGGATTGTGTGGTGTTTTGGACACAGCACCGGAACTGAAGCAGTCTACCTGAGCAATGTCAGTATGGCCTTTTAAGCAGCAGTTGCCCACAAAGATCTGCACCCATTTTTAACTCATTCTGTTGCTAGTTCTGAGGAAGGACCATAGAACTGGGAACTTGTCCTGGGCATCAACATAGAACTGGACAACATTTTTGCAGTTGGGGGGGGGGGAAGGCCTCAGAGCGCTCCCCATCTTTTAAATGTGCTTAGGAGTGATGGGAATGTTTTGTCTGTACCAGGCTGTCTTACAGTATGGCTAGAGGGAGCAGAGGCAATAGCTACAGTGTGGCTAGAGGGAAACCATTTTAAGAGGCAATAGCTAGACGGGTCGCAGAAGAATTGTACCGCTGCTGATCCGTTTTGTCTTGCTTCTCCAAACCAGTCATTAAAATCCCAATTCAGACTGGGATTGGAATTTTGTTTCTTTTGCGTCTTAAACTTACACACTTAACACGCTGGTGTTGAGTTAAACAGCCCTGGCTTTCATTTCAGGTCTTCCTGGACCATGTGGAAACGTTCATCAAACAAGTAGATTCTGTAAATTATATCAACTTGTTTCTCACAGAGCTGAAGTGAGTATTGCTTTTTTCCTATTACTTTTTCCTTTTGGTAAGGTTGGTTTAAAAGGGATTAGAAGAAGAAGAAAAGAGATTGGATTTATACCCCGCTCTTCACTACCCAAAGGTGTCTCAGAGCAGCCTACAAACTCCTTTCCCTTCCCCTCCCCACAACAGACACCCTGCGAGGTGGGTGGGGCTGAGAGAGCTCTTGACAGAAACTGCTCTTTTCAAGGACAACTGTGACAGAGCTTGTGACTGACCCAAGGTCACATCAGCAGGTGCAAGTGGAGGAGTGGGG